TATGTCATATTGTGCATCCCACGCACACAGAAAGAAGCTCTGGACGGAAATGGCGGGCAAGGGAAGTTCTAGGCTGGTCAAAATTTGCAGCCAGCTTCTGCTAAACGTCTTTGAAGAACTTGTCACTTGTATCTGGGCTAAGATGCATTTCTAAGCTTTAAAATATAGGCTGTCAGCCAGCATCGGTCCCACGCTAGTATTCCTTGCGAGGATGCATGCGACGTGCTTTACCGTGTAGCAGAGTTCGCGCACGTCAAATCACTGTTGCAAGTTGCCGCAGGCGCGACGTCGCATGACCGGTGCTGGTTGATATAGCCTGTATGCAGTGCAATCAGCATTCATCAAAATCCAAAAAGGAGACTTTACGGGACAAACTGATTTGAACGCCAGTGACTGCAAAACTCAAGAAATCATTGTATCGTAAAGTGTTAATCGGCTGATCCATGCTCCTACAAAAAAGTTGTACCATCTGGACGTTTAGTAGCGGTCTGCGAATGTGACGGAAAAAGAATCACCTAGCATGCTTTTCTACCATCACCTCAGTTCACATCCAGAGCAATTGTCAGAAAATTGGGCTCAACCGTCTAAAGAATTCTCAAGCTTGATGGAAACTCTGCTGTTACAAAGGCAAGCATTGGTTCCGAGCTCGCAGAGCTCTAGAAACGTAGAGGAGTTACTGTCAAAGAAAAGTTTGTGCTATTCTTACATCTGGGAAAGATCGATTTGCCAAAAAATTATAAGCTGTGGGAGTTGCATAGACGTTTCTTTAGCAGTAGCTCCTCCATGTTCCCAATGAAATTCTACAAGCTTCGGATTAGTGCTCTCTTTGTAAAAACAGGGTTTTCGTCAACTTTGAGAACTCTCTGGATCGCCGAGCCCAATTTTCGACCTTAAAGTCGCTCCAACTCCGAACTGAGGCGATGGTAGAATTTGAAGCATGCCAAGTAAAGCTTTTCTGTCACATTCGCAAACCGCCTCTAAACATTCAGGTGATACAACATTTCTAAGTGCATCGATAGCCGATTACTCTTTATTGGTACAATGATTTCTTTAATTTTTATGGTCATTTGGCGTTCAGGTCAATTTGCCCCGCAAAGTCTCCTGGGTGAGTTATTTTCTTTTTTTTCAGAACTTGATAGATGCTGGTTGCAGCCTAAGGCTTAGGGCTGCAGTCTTAAGGAATCTTAAGGCTTAAGGGTGCATCTGCAGCCCGAATACTGGAAGATGACAAGTTTTACAAAGACGTTCGGCATAAGGTGCAAGTTTTGATTGACCTCGAATTTGCCGTTTTCGCCATTTCCGCCGGTGCCAGTTCACCAGGATATACATAAAAATTTGCTTTGCCCTCCTTTTAAACCTCCACCTACAAAAGAGCTTAGAGTTTGTGCTTATCATAGAAAGAGAATGATACCAAAGATGCATATAGATAACTACCTAGCATTTGCTCATCAGCGCTACTCGGGATAAAATGAGGTCACCTTGCACCTTGATTAGCAAATCTCGCAATTTCGGCTGTCAAATATAATACCGCTCACAGAATGTGCAATTCCATGAATGTCGCGAAATTCGTGAAACTTCGCGACATTCCCGGAATTTCGCGGAATTCCGGGATTTTCGCGGAATCGGAATTCCGCCACATTCACGGAAATTTTGCAAGTTATGTGGGTGGTACTGTATCTGGCTGATAAACTGACAAAACGGTTATATTAAACGTCACAGTGTGCTGTGCATGTAAACCAAAATTTGAATTCGTTCTTTGCAAAACAGAGTACGATATAATATAACTAAAGAGTGAATGCAAGCTTTTAGCCAGCGTATAAGCCTCAGGTGACTATTTCATATCAAATACAGATGGCGCGGCATCATTAGTGATCGCAACGCAATCTTCTTTTTACTTCATTTTTGGAACAAATCAAAGCAGCTGCACATTTCAGCTGTCATCGCATTCTATCCTATTAGCAGAAGTTTATATTGAAATGTCTGCACTAACGTAAAGCCCCACCTCCCTACACAAAACTTTCAAAGCGTTGCATTAAAGCCAAGAATATGAAGTCGCACCGGCAGCAAGGATGCTTTGCAGCCACTAATGAAGTCACGTCGTAGCGAATCCTCCGCGATTTTGATACGAGTTCAGGTATCCGAGATTATAGATGAGAAAATATGACCTGCGTTAGTGGTCTAAGGCATAATTCCATGTTCCTTAGAATGAGTCTTGATTACGTGAATTTCTTCCTGCCTTTTGAAATGACTCTGAACTGACTTCTATTTTGAGCACAGTAGTTGCAAAAAAGTGTGATTACTATCTTGGTTTCAATGTAAATGTGCCAAAATGCCTTAATTGATAGGCAACCGAAGCTGGTATATGTCACCAAAAAGCAAAAAGTTTTTACAGCGTGGTCTTCAAATTTTTAGCCGTAAGACATATCTTAACAGGAAAGTGAGCGACGTGTTGAGAGTGTGGTTGAGTCGACGAAAAACTTATTGGTAGATGTAAGTTTTTATCGCTAGATCAATAATGCATTCTACTTCAACAGTGCGGTTCAAATGGTACTAATGAAGCCCCTTTCACACCTTACAAACTTTTTTATTCGCCTCGAAACAATATAATAAAACATCTGTTTCTTTCTAACTAAATAGCCCCGCAGTTCATGGACGGCGATCAGCATTTATTAGATAATTTTACGGCACTTACCTTTTTCGACAATCAGCGATAAGCAGCACCCACTCCACTAAATCAAGCTTTGCAATTGCAAAGATATCGAAACAAAAAGAGGGTTCACGAAACACAATTGTACAGGAATAAAAACAAGCATAGATTTCCATACCGTATTTCCAAACTCTACTTCTTTCCAATCATTTCACAACTTTATTGCCCTTACATTGGTTACTTCATCCAACGTCGTCTCTAATAAGATTCTTCTGGTAAAGAAGCACGAGTCATTTATGAGAGTCTTTAGTCAGTATAATCCTGGTCGCGTCGCGGCTGAAGTCTCTTGCTCCAGAGTTCAAGAGGGGTCCACTTTTCCAACACAAATGAAATTGACCTTAAATGCTAGCAAAGCTTTCCTCGTTTTTGAAGGCAAAATGAAGGTAAGCTGTACTTTGAAATCTGTGACTATGACTAGAATCTCTCAAGTTCTTAAATTTCCAATCCTATTCTTTTCACCGTCTTGAAATTCGCACTACTCAGACAAATCACTGGAACTTTCGCAGGACAAGCCAAATTTGCAGAAGTTCCGCAGGATTTTGTTCACTATTGCAAAAGTGAAAACGTTGAAAATCGGAACTTCCCGCGGGATTTTCATGCCAAACTGGCTGAAAACCGGAACTTCTGCAGTCTTCAAAATCCTGATGAAAGTCCGAAAAATGCCAGAAGCCCTGCAGCATTTTGGCCTGCCAGGACTTCCGCTGGACTTTGAATGTGTTGTCTTGTGATTTTGCCAACAACTAGAGTGCATTATCGAACATGTCAGCTCTGTAGAGGATAGTAGGTGGGTCTCACAGTCAACAGAGTAAGGTTCAAATCTCGCTTCGGTGTTCTCTTTTGCTGTTGTGGTTGGCATTCTTCGGAACTTCCGCAGGACCTCATTTCGGAACTTCCGCAGCACGTTAACGGAACTTCCGCAGGTGACCCGGCGGAACTTCCGCAAGCGCTCTGTCTCGGTCATTTGTCTGAGTACTTGACTGTGAATGCGCAAATAGAAAAATGAGTCAGTGCCCAAGATCCTTAAACCACTTGTTCACAGATATGGTATTAAATAAAAAAGGCAAAGATGTGCCCAATTTAGCAACTTATGGAAGCGTTTCTCGCATTAAAACTGCTCATAATTTTGTCTATTAAGACTATAGTTGCGTTCCATGCTTCATCCAAGGGTATGCGTCTTGTTTGAATTAGTCTTTGACTTCTGACCATCCCTTGTTAGCCATAAACAAAAATAAAAGTAAATTTTCGGACAAGAGTCAAGATAGCAGGATTTACGTGCTTTTGCCAAAGCAATGTTGTCACATGAGCTCTACATTACAACATTTAGAAATGGAATTGTTAATGGCCGAAAAGAGCTATTCTTTGCTCAACATCGTCAGTGTAAATATTTGAGAAAGGGAAATTAATATTTATCAAAAAACAGCCCATAAAATTCTGTTTATATTCTAAGGATCGCAGTAAGGAAAAACTTATGTGGGAGCAGCTCAGCATTGCCTCATGTAAGCATTATGTTTTTGTTCTATCGATATTGCCTCAGAATATGCACAACAGTTGTACACATGGTTGCCTGTTTGAAGAGTGTATACATGAGCAAGTGGAAGTATCAGGATTTTAATGATGGAGATCTGGTTTTGTTTCTACTTTTCTAAACGTCAAATCTTCAAGTTTTCGGCCTTCAACTTCACATAAACTGACAAGTGCAAAAGCTCGCCGTCTTGTAGAACTTGCTCTTTATCGATGGTACTTTGAAACTTATTAGAACACCAGCGCTTCAACTCTGCTTCGAAGAGGTTCGCACTGGCCATCGTGAAAAGTATAGGTAAACTTATGTAATGATCTTGGCCTTCATCATTCTTTGATGGAGGAGACCGAAGTAATTACAAAAATGACCTTACTTGTTTTGCAACTCTCCCATGCATTTAAGCAATGTAAATCATTCTTCACTGTAAATTTCGTAACAGACAGACTTGCAGACTGACAAATTAGCGGCTTATTATAAGTGATGATAAGAAGCATAACACTTGTTGCTATAAAGAGTAGAGATCAAAGACAAAAGCGCATGAATTAGCCTGAGAACTTGAGTAATATGCACTGGCAAAAATATTTTGTAACTATTACATAATCGGTTATCAACATGTGGCGTAAGTGTTTATTCTGCGCCAATTTGTGTCAGAAATTCGCAAAAAACTGAAAAGCAATTTGTTTTCGTACTACTCGACAGAAGGCCGTGCGGTGTTGAGACAGAATCAAAAACCGAAAAATCAAAGGTGTTCCAATCTTTATAAGAGTTGTTTAGGCAGGAAGGAGTTTTTGCTCTTTCCAAGTGAGTAATCCTTGCGAATTTGGTATACCACATACCTACCACGCGTTTGGAGTTGATCATCAGGTAAAAAACTTATGCCAACGCTAAATTCATCCCATAGAAATTTGAAAAATTTAGTGGCTCAAGCAATGCTTTTTTAATGATAACACAATTACTTGTTCATGTGATACCGATGAGTGTAACAGAGATATGAACGTTATAAAGGTAATATCTTTTTTCTTATAATGTTCTCCACATGTTCCTCTAATAATGTGGAAAACCTATCCTACAAATATTGTCTCCTCATATGTCCATTATTTTCATAAACAAGTAATATTGTGAATCGCAGAAGCGCTGGGAGGATACAATAGGCATTGATCCGACAATTAAGAAGTGCGTTGCAGAGCATTTGCAAGGTGAGATAAGAGCGATGGAAGTTGTTGCACAATCTGATGTTGTTATAAACTGCCGAGTTTTTTCCGCTTTTATTGTTAGTATCAAATTGTTAGTATCAACTGAAATTTGACCCCGTAGCGATTATAATATTAGTTGTTACATAAGTTTTGTTACAGTTTCTTCGCCTTCCTCTGGAAAACTCTAGAAAATTCGGCAAGATCTCATATCCGGCATATATGGGGAAGGGATAAAGGGCTATCTGCTGGCACCACTTATGCCCTCACCACATGACTTACAGTGAATATAAAGGCAACACTATAGGGGCACCCCAACCTTCATTTTTTTCTTTGTTTCCTAAAAAATCTCTTATTCTTCTTTTCCACATTTTAGATTTTTTATGGACTTTGGGGAGCATTGGTAGTAATAGTGAAGCAGTTTGGAAGTTCAAACTTTTCATCAACCTAAAATGGAAATTTGCCAAAAATAATTCGAAAAAATTTCAAAAAAATCTAAAATTTGATTTTTCATGTGTGGCATGTATATACCAAAAATCTGCAACATTATACATAGTTTGAAGGCAAGGAAAAATCATTTGAGAAAGTTATGAGCATTTTTTCAGTCGAGTGTAACAAAACTTATGTAACAACCTAATAGATACAATACCGCTCTCAGAACGTGCAAAATTTCCGTGAATGTCGCGGAAACCCCGGAATTCCGCGAAGGACCGCGAAATTTTCGGAATTTCGCGACATTTCCGGAATTTCGCGACGTTCCGGGAATGTCGCGAAATTTTCGGAATATCGCGACATTTTCGGAATTTCGCGACATTCCGGGAATTTCGCGGAATTTTCGGAATATCGCCATAACTTCCTTCGGAATGCATAAATTTTGGATCTGAAACAAGGGTTATACTCAGCTCATTAAGGCGAATCTTTTGGTACCTTGCCTTACCGTAATTGTCGGGGCACGATTGGTGCACGGTCTGAGATGAATTTTGCATTTTGGGAGAGAGGACGTGGATGTACGGCAGCAAGTGAATCCTTTTGCGATTTTTCTGAAATTCTAGGGAGGGGGGGGGGAGTAATCAGTGGTATTGGGTGTGGTTGGTTCTAAAATATGCGAACATGCCGTGATGATGCCGTCGATGTTGTTTTTCCCCTCTTCTGTTTATTTAGTAGCTCCAAGCACCTATTTATTACTAGAAGGGGTGGATTCGAGTACAGGACACGAATATTGTGTTCACCTCCCCTCTCCCAAAATGCAAAATTCATCTCAGACCGTGCACCAATCGTGCCCCGAGAATTACGGTAAGGCAAGGTATCAAAAAATTCGCCTTAATGAGCTGAGTATAATTCTTGTTTCAGGTCTAGAATTTATGCATTCCGAAGGAAGTTATGGCGATATTCCGAAAATTCCGCGAAATTCCCGGAATGTCGCGAAATTCCGAAAATGTCGCGATATTCCGAAAATTTCGCGACATTCCCGGAATGTCGCGAAATTCCGGAAATGTCGCGAAATTAATTTCGCGACATTCCCGGAATGTCGCGAAATTCCGGAAATGTCGCGAAATTCCGAAAATTTCGCGGTCCTTCGCGGAATTCCGGGGTTTCCGCGACATTCACGGAAATTTTGCACGTTCTGAGAGCGGTATTGTATGTGCTGATACAACATCTGTAGAACATCTACACAAAATCGTGGACGGAATCAACACAAATTAGATATCTTAATTATTTTTATTCAGAAATTGAGGAGGAAATAAGAGAGAACGATGCAACTACCGCTGTGGTATGTGTTTTGCACCTCGGCCATAAAATTTTATACTCACATTGTTTTAGCCGAATCAAGCCGAACAATCTAATGCTGCACAAAAAGACAAAGGTAGATGATCTTTGTTGTTCAATAGATGAGCTATATAGCTATTATGACGTATTAGCACAAAGAAAAGTCAAAATTTAAAAAAGAATTGTACTATAATAATTCATATGCAAGTTGTTCAAATTACAAAAGAATTATTGAAAGAATTACAAATGAAATACAAAATTTTTTAGTAGACACGATTTTACACTAAATTATGAAAATGCAAATTTATGATTGTACCAGTTTCTATTTTTTTTGTTTTTGACGTAAGACTCTTGCCAGGCCTTTTGCACATAACATTGATTTCTATTTTTTGATACCCAAGTAACAGCCTCTGTCACATGTTCACGCTTGGACGAATGCAGTATTAAGTTTCGAGGAGCGTTGAATACTAGGATGGGTCTTCTACATATAAATTTCTTACTTACTTAAATACATAGTTTTCCAACGGTATCTGTCCCTCGCTTGACACCCACGGTCTTCTTGATTGTCGTCGTCGGTTGCGTGCAGGAGTCTCAGATGCAAAAATCTTTTGTAACTTTTAACATCTCATAATGACTTAAAGTAACTTTAGGTCAAGCAACCGGCAACAAAAAGGCAAAAAATGGCAGCAGATCAATGAGTGATTTGTGAGTTGGCTTTAAAAATACAATCTGAATTTTTTTGATGTTTTGACACCTCAAAAGCTTATAATCGCTTCCATTTATCCAACAACTAAAAGCCGTGCATGTTGATTTGCTTTTGCGCAGACTTGCTAATTTATCTGCATGAAAATAGATTCATTTGCAAGCAGATATTCAGAAGCTATTCGAAGCACTTCCTACAGCAGTTTCGACTACTCCTATAAACGAAACCCTCCTGGAAGTGGTCAACTCGAGTCAAGCATTCTTTTGGACATATAAAGTTTATGATGCACAAAATTCAAGCATCAGACCACAGGGGTGCGAAAGTAAAATATTGGGTAATCCTGAAGTTACTTTCGATTTTTTGATCGGCTGCCACATTCCGCAGACAAAGATATGTAATAGATCCTTTTGTAAAAAATGATTGTTCGTCAAAGTGGCCTTTTCAAAAGTAATGCATACTTTTTAAAAAAAAATCAAACGCTGATTCCTCTGTCTTTCTTATCTGCAGAGCGCCTCTGGAGAAGACGTCATGAGGACTTTTGTAGCAAAAATCTGAACGCGTAGTCATAAGACTATTTGTAGAAGTTTTTCCAGACCTCAAATAGAACACTGGTGACTGGTAAACCTCTGTGTGAGAAAAAGACTTCCTGCTTGTTAAAACTTGCTCGACATATCTCCATCTGCGAGTTGGAAAAGTTGTCACCACTGATTTCTCTGATCGCGTTAGATTTTTTGATATATAAAAAGTTTGTAAACCCACACTTAAAGGCGCTCGCAAATGAGAATTCAATTCACTTTAATGCTATGTGCATCTCAGTTAAGGCAGTGGATCGGCAAAATGGACCCTGAACAGGTTTTGGGTAGTTTGGGTTGTAGACCCACAAGTAGCTGCGGTGTACATGGGGGTGTGTCTTCTACCTAACGCTACAAAAACCTGACGTTCATTTTGCCGATCCACTGCCTTTAAGGCCACTTCAACTAAGGTTCATTCCCTTAGTGGCACTAGAGGCATCTTTTTATTCTCTTTCAGAGGTTATCTATTGCATTTCAAATCTCTCAGAAACATCAAAATCTGCGACATTCTGTCACGTTTCGAGTTTTCCTATTTCTAAATTTTTGTACTGAGTCTCCCTAAAATTCCAGGTAACATCAAGAGAGAACTCTACAGGTTACAAAACAACTCTTCCCTTCCTTAGCTTGTTTTCAAACTTTTTATAAATATTGTTTTGATGCTAAGAGAACCACGTTGGATATCAAACGATTAGCAATGCGGGTGTGATTCAATGCGGCATTTTTTCTTCCTAGTGCTTTCTTTTGTTGAATCAAAAGTCTTAATTTGATGCAGCAACATTTCCTCTTTCTAGTGCTTTCTTTTGTTCATTAAAAATTCTTATGGATGAAATCGCCTTCTTAAAGAGTTCCCGATATAACCCGCAAATTTTGAATTTCGACATTTCGAATCTTTCGAATACTGGGATGTTGACGTTCGTGTTTGATATAAGCCGCTGAGATTTGAAGGCTTTGTTGGAAATTCTATTAGAAAAAGTGTGACGTGGTGTGAGAAGAAGAAGAAATTGCTTATCCCAAAGGTTTTCCTCTACAAATCAAGTTGTCCCATGAATTCCATCCGTTTTGAATTTAAACCGCAGTAAGTCATATTTCTCATTTCTAAATAGGTTGCAAAGTACCATTTGATAAAGTAAAGCAAGCTTTACATGAAGGCGATGTTGCTTTTGCATCAATCCATGTCGAGGCCCGAGCCAAAAAAACAAAAAGAAGCCCGAAAATTGCAAAAAATCGCAACTCGGGTTCAAAGTGTGCTACAGAAGTTCTAACTTGCTCATGTATACACTATCTACTTAAGACAAATTCATAAACACTTGCCGTATTTTTTCTCAAATTATAAATTCTTCTTCTTCCAAAGTGTTGCTCTGTTGTCCCGCATAAGTGAATGTGTAAAATTGCGTACTACAAGCCTGTACAAGTATAAACGTTAATTTTCAGCTCTCTACAAGCTTTAGTTGCAAGTTGGAATTCTTGTGGCATTACTTTAAACGGGGTAACAAATTTTTCCCCGGTTTTCAGGCAGCTAGGTTTTTCTAGGTTCTTGGCTTGAACCTGGAGAAACACAGCTGGCGCAAAAGCAATATTGCCATTTAGTAGAGTTCTGCAGCCTACCAAGAAATAAGAACTGTATAACTTATTGCGGTTGGAAATCAAAATGGAGTTTGTGGGATAATCTGATTCTTTTACTTGGACTTCTGCGGTAATCATAAAATTCAGGGAAATTACGAGACTTGACCATGACAAAAAACATGTGTTTCAAGTTGTGGTAATTTTTAGGAGCTCATTTATTGCACTCAATCAGCATATAAATATAGAAAAGATTAAAAAGATGCATCAAAAACTTTCAAAATTCTCTACAAATCTATATTCGTTGTGACATTCTGTGGCAGTCGTTTGAAACAAAACGAATACTTTCCGGCGACCTAGTAAGATAAACTGTTTCAAGATTTCAAAAACAAGAAAGTCGTATGCGAGACTCGCATGCATGCTAAAATCTCCAAAATTTTTAGAGATGAATGCAATTGCGCCTACTTCTTGTATGTCCACAAAACTTTAACAAAACTCAAACTTCTTGTGCTACGTTATTTAGATTTAAATTTCTGCTAATCCACCAAAACAGGTTTTTTAGCATCATCTTCTTGATCTTGGTGGTAATAGCACTGATCCTCCTCATTGCGATAATTCCTGCTCTCCTTTACTGCATGGTGTTGAAAAATAGACGCAGCGAGAGAAAGTTTGCCGAAGAACTCGCAGAAGATACCGCAAGCGAGAGATCGAGCAGGAAATCTAGAAGGGGAAAAGGCGGAAAGAGCAAGAAAAGTTCAAGAAAGAGCAGAAGAAGCAAAAGCAGCAGAAAAAGTGGCAGAAGTAGTAAACGCAGAGCCAAGAGCGCAAAAAGTGACAGGAGTGCAAGAACGAGCAGCAAAAGCGGGAAAAGCAGAAAAAGTTTGTTGAGTCGGAGAAATCGCAGCAGCTCAAAGAGTGCTAGATCTAGTACGAAGGCATCAAGCAAAAGAAGCAAGAGTCAGAAGAGGTCTGCGAAAAGCGGCAAAAAAGGACGTAGTAGATCGAGAAAGTGACTAACGTATGATGTGCAGAACGCTTATTCTAACAACAGTAAAAAGCCTTCTCGCAATCATCGTACACAGATGAAAATTTACGGCTAGTATTGATCTGTAATAAAGCTGTGTACAGTGTGTTTTCAACAATGCAGGCCTGGACGAAAGTATGAAATGGACATCTAAAGAACCAATTTGTCTAGCCACTTTCATACCGCAGTCTCCCCGCACAATAGTCTCAGTAGCATTGATCGTTTTGTTGAAGCGCCTTACTTTTTGAGCATATAAATCCCCTGTCCGGGTATTATCGGAACGCTGTGTTACCCGAACAGGCTTGTCCTTCTGCATGTCTCACACGAAAAGCTCAATTCGCGCATGTTTCCTTCTTCTAAGCCTCTTCCTCAACATTATCACAAGGAGGAAAAGGGCATCATGTCGCCAGAAAGGGGAGAACGTATGAGAATATGTGCAATGAAACAAGCATTTCTACTTCAAAAGCTTGTGCCAGTTGTCCGAGTAAAGCTGAGTGCTCTCCGAGCAACTATCGGCGGCATATTGTCCTTTTTCAGTTCGAACAGTTCCGCGAATCATCAGTCAGTTTATAATTAGCAAAACTAGAGTGCAATCAAAAATTTTCCGAACTATTGGTTGCAAGCTGAAAAGGCCTTAACACAAAGGAAACAACTCTAGAATTAGCATAAATTTATTAGCAGTTGTTATCATATTACGGCTTTAGAATGCAGGAAGGAGATGCTAGAGCAGCAATCTTGCTGGGAATTTGACTATGGTGAGGCAATTTGATCGACAGGATCCGCGTTGGTAGACTTTTTGAGCCTACCGCCTACTCCAAATCTGTCTCAATTCTCGCTATGAAAATGCAAGCGTACATATAGGCTGCCAAGTCTACGTCTTTGCCCGAATTGGCGAGCCCTTCATTCTTACCATAGATGCGATAGGTGGAGAAATTTCTCTGACCCCCTTCACTTTAAGGCCGGCATCTGGCTGACTTCTTTCACCTGAGGTTGAGACTAAAATCAGGGCATAACGGCAGAATCAAACAGCTTTACAATGACACTTTTTGTTTACAAAGGAAAAGCCAACTGCTCTTCTCTCAGACATCAAGACTGCAAGAGATTATCAAATCAGCAGCGTATTATTAAAAAAAACGCATGCTTTTCCAGTCCAAAAAAGTCTTGCTCCGGCGACCCATAGAAAGCCGGAGCGGGGTGGAGCAAGTAGTATTGAACACCTCCACCTCATCTTTAAGAAGCCACAAGTTTTTTCACCCAACAACCTAAATACCATTAAGAAGCTCACAATAAAGGAATTGGACGTAGGCCGTCTCTTTTATAGCTCTACTCTATCTAATACATGGAATTTCAGTTAAAAACATGTGTGTTTTTGCCAAGAAATCTCTGCGTTAAGAATGCGTGAAGGTGCCTAATTGTCTAACAATATCACAGAGCAAGACCTTGCCAGTAAACGTAGACCGTCTATTTTTTCTATCTTCGCCCTTTCTTTCAAAAATGAAGCACAAAATAATTACACAAAATTAGCTGGTGAGTAGGCACATAGAATTGTTCGTATCTCGCTTTACAGAGAAGCTATGAAAAAGAGACGGTCTTTGTCGATTTTCCATGATCTCGGCTTTCGAATGGTACAAAGCATGTTGGGGGCTTTTTTGCTTTCCGGCTCTAAAAAGCACTTGCTCCGGTGACTGATAAAACCCAGTACATTGGGGGAGCTGGGTGGAGCAAGCTAATAGCAGGGCCCAACACCGAAGGTTTGGGGTCAAACTGGACTTCGTTTTTTGGAGTTAGCAGCAACGGCTAGAGCGTTTTTATGAGGTCCTGGAGGAAGCGCAAAAAAACACGACGAACATGTCAGGTTTTACGAGTTGAACGTGTTCTTTCGCAAGCGCGCGAATTTCAAATGCAAGACTCAAACAAACAAATGGCTTGTTTACAGCGCACAAACAATCACATGGCTCCGATTTTGGGCTATGTGTATACAATATTACTCCAAACTATGTTATGCAAGAAGTTCCCAAAACTTATGGGTCCTAATAGCCGTTCTCGAATTTGTTGGTTTCTAGACCAACTCCAAACCAACTGGGTTGGTTCGGAGCATAAATATCGGAGAGTTCACATAAGTTTTGGACTTTTTTGATTTGGACGATTAGAACGGTCAAAAATCTATCATATAGTGAAGAGAGCGGATCAAACCATTGCCTCTCTCCTTTTTTGAGTCAAAAGTAGTATAATTTTACGTGTTGATAGATATCGCGCTCCAATCACTTGCGAAGTCCTTTGAAATATGAGGCGAAAAATGCATCGCAGGATTGTTGAGGCTACAGATTTGGTTGGCCTATGAGTTTTCGACATTCCGAGCATCAAAATGGTACTATACTCAATGGCAGAGCCTTTAATCGACTCGAAATGTTTTCTTTTTGCTTTTTTGTTATATTATTATACATACCTCAAAATGCGCTTTTTTCGCTTTTTTGTTGTTATTTTGGTTGAATAAGGGTTTCCCTACTGATTTTCACGTCGAAAGGGACTTCGTAAATTTTCGCGAAGTCTTGTGGGACTTCGTTTCCAAAAAACCTCCAAACCAACGCGTGCCGGGCCCTGGCTAATAGTAAATATCTCCACCCCATCTTTGAAAACTGGCAAGTTTTTCCGACCAGCAGTCCCATTCGAAAGCTAAGGAAAAGAGAATTCGAAGTAAACCGTCAACTTTTTTCCAGCCCCCCCCCCTCCTCTACCGAGAGATACACTGCATTTTATTTGAAATCATGTCCATTTTCAACAGCAGATTCTTGCCAAACGAAGCTAATCACTGCTGGTTATCTACCTACGTTACAGAGCAAGTCTTCGTTAACAAATGTAAATCGTCGACTTTCTCGTAGGATTCATTTGGAGAGCAGAAAGTAAGGACAAAAAATCAGTTGATATATGAAGCACATAAAATGCCTCACATCTCACGGCACAGAAGACCTAGAAAAAAAGTCGACGGTTCTATGACCTCAGCTTTCGTAGTATGTAACCTGTTGGGGCATTTTGCTTTCAGGGTCCACTTGCTTCCTTCACCTTACAAGGATTGGAGTGGCAGAGACCTCCTTCACCTGGAGAGATCACGGCTCCCCCTATCCCACATATGCTCGCACTTGTAATTCAGTATGTAACTTTCAAAAATTTTGCACTTGGTAGTCACTGCTTTACACGCCATGGATGTCATGTGGTCGTCAATGTATCAATGTTGCCTCATCACTGCGGCAGATATGTGCATCGAAATGCAGTCATTACGTAAAATACTGAATTGGCTATTATAACCTCGAGTCATTTGTAACTCAGTATGTGAGATTGCACACTAAGCCCTATTAGCGACGGCACCCATACTAGTAGCTTCCCAGTAAAACATTTTCTAGCCTAACAAACTGTAGACATGTGTTCTACTAACTAACATATAACCAACTAAAACAAAACAAAGAAGGAAGCAAGGAGTCACTGGAAATGAGCAGGTTCTAGTTTCGCAGTTCGTTAGTTAACATGTATAGTGTGCACTGCGCATATTAAGTTACAGACTCGACGATAGATAATTTCAAATGAATATGCAAAAATGCAGAAGCGATAAATAGTAGTAGTTCTCACTCCTTAGACATAACCCTTTCGTAGATTTGGATAGCAGAAATGTTGCCACTCTGACGAAGGAACCTCACTGATTTAACCTCGAGTCATTCCTAATTAAATATATGAGTCCCACACTTTACTCGGCAACCGACGACCCCTTTCTCGTAGTCAGTTAGCAAAACTTCCTGGCTGTCAAGTAGCGCATATGATGTGCAATACGCATATTGAGTTACAAATAGCTCAACGACATATCTCCTTGTTGTCAGTGCTTCGATATAATTCTCTTGTCCGATACATCGCATTTAGTCCATTCAAGTGCTCTATGTGGCGAATGATATATGAGCAAGCATAATAGGAAGAGGATTAGTGTAATACGAACCGTATCGTATCATAGAAGCTGAATTGAAAGCTGTCTTTCGAAAAGTTGCAAGAGAGACGACTTCGTGTTTAAGAATTGAATTTTTGAGCAAACGTCGTGGAGGATTTGGGAAAGAGACCGAAGAAGTCCAAAGCTAGAATGGTTAGCTTTGACTTACAAGGGATGGGTAGACCGATGGGACCGACTACCCAACCCTCTCGAAATGGTGTTTCCATACAAAATGTGTACTCTCTTATACAACATGGAATGCCAATTTCAGGACTACATTTGGCACCTGCACAGCGCTTTTGGGAGAGCAGTTATAGAAAATTTTTGCTGCAAAAATTCGAAGGCGCCGCTTCAATAAATCATTCACAACCTTAGTCCGCAAGCTCAAATTGGGCTATGATTACTACCAGAGCGTTTTTGAAGACCTCTAGTCTAATAGACATATGTCAGTCATAACTCATTTCAAGCGTGAAAAAGACCTCAACACCTATTTTATCTTAGCCAATTCATCAAATTTTTACCTCGAAAAATTACCAGAATTTTCCTCCCAGAAGCACTTTGCAAATACCTACCTCATATGGAAACGCCACTTCGAGCAAGTATCCTTGCCTTGTTACAGAGTCGAGAGTAGACGACTATCAAGAACGAAATTTTCTACAGTATTTAGGAGACATTCCACTGTTTTTTTACACGTTCCAAAACCTTCCATACTCACTTACCAAACTAATTCTACAAAAAAGAGGTGGTTCAAGGAATTTCTGTATTTTAAAGTGCTAGTTCATCACTCTCATCAAGTAAACGCCTGAAGTAACTTGTGAGCGAAGCATTCGAATTCTCATCGTTTTATCATAATTCTTTTTCTAATGCATATATTTCAAATATTCACCTTTTGAATCTCATAAACCTCAGCTATCAATATCAGGTGTATGACAAATGATGCGTCAAAAGAACAACCACGATCTAGTGTTTGTTCTTGAGAAATGATATTGCACAATAACGTCCTTATCAATCATCATATCATAAGCAGAGGCACAATGATAACGTTTAAGTGAGTGTCATTTCTATCTACTGTACAAATGAGTAGTCGCACGATTTGTGAGTGACGAAGCTTAGTCTTCATCCTCTTCAATATTGAAGCATCATTTTCAGTCTTACTGACGGCACTTTTGCTGCATCCATTATATGTGACGTGTCTCAGATGCTATGTAGGAGTGGAAGGGGCAGGAAATGTGACAGAAGTGGATGTTGAAGACGTAAATAATTTTATTTGCACAAAGAAGATAAGCGCTAAGCGTACATCAGCTCATATGGCACGTGTCCGATTAACACGTGAAAGTTTAAATTAATTAAGTAGTAAAGGCTAATCTAAGCTGAATATCTTGAAACTGCATTTTTGTTCTTGGATGGAACGTGAAGACATTCTTGATGGCCACTTTTTTATTTCAAAATTACACATCTTGGAAAGCAAACTTCTTTTGAATTTCCGATGCTCTGGAGTTTGTGAAAGATTTCAAAAAGCGAAATTTAGGCAAATCGAGATAGGGAAAAACAATTTTGCTTTTGTATTAGGTCGTTCCGAAAGTAATGTCGCTTTTTTCGAATGAACGCCACTATTCGTGGAATTAACGTTTTCAAGAGATCTTAGAAGCATTAGATGCAGCACTTCATCCTCTTTTTGATGGCTTAATTTCGCTGCATAATGTTATATGAGCTCTCGAAAAATTACCAAAATCTGCGACTCATGCTTTTTGCCATTGTCAAGTTCGGCTATTTTTCTAAATTTTTGTACCTATTCTTCGAAGATGTGCAAGTGACAGTTAGATAAAGCAAACCCTATAGGATACAGGATAATTTTTCCTTCTTAGCCTGCTTCTTAGAGTTTCTGGAATCAATTTTTCAATGCTATCAAATTGCATATTTGGTCAACTCAAACCACACAGAACAACAACCGGCAAGCAACTCGGGTGTCATTCGACGCAGCTTTTTCTCCTCTTTCTACTAGTTGTTTTTTGTTTCCGATTCATCAAGTTTTCCGAGATAAAATCATCATAATTCAACTTTTCCAAGCATCCCAAGGTGTACCCGGAATTTTCGAAAGTTGCTAAACCGAAGCGGTGAATGCTCGTTTGGTTTGTAAAATTGTTGCCAAACCATAATCCATGTTTGTAACTTTCAAAATCCGGAGACTTGCGCGTTTGATGCACTTTTGTCTGAGACGAGCCTGCTAAAATTCGGTGGATCCATCAAAAAATCTGTACAAAAATTATAACGAGCTCTGGAAAGTAGAAAAAAGTTGTGCTGTTTCCTGTAGGGTTTGCTCTATCCATCCATCACTTGGATTTCTTTTGAGGTTCGTTATAAAATTTTAGAAAAATTGTGAAACTTGGCCATCTCAAATAGCATAGGTCGCAGATTTTGACTTTTTTCTGGAAGCTCATTGACCGTATTGCAACAACTTCATAACCGTTAGAAAGAGAATGAAATGCTGCATCAAATACTTCCAGAATCTCCTACACACCTTTGTTGCACGAGATGTGGCATGCGTTTGAAAAAAGCGACATTACTTTCGGGACGACCTAATATTTTGGGTTTTGTACTTTAGAACAACAAAATGGCTCCTACATGCTGTCTAGGATTTCGTTGCTTGGTAGTCGTCTACCCTTGACCCTCTAAGTTCTCTACAAACCAAAAGGCTTTTGACCTAGCTTTCTTGTTAGCATACAGTTTCTATCACACTGATGTTTCTGTTACGCTTGTCTGACCATCATTCGCTTCCACCAGTGGCGTACCCAGGATTTCGGCTCGGGGAGAAGGGGGGGGGGGGGGGCGGGGGCGCGACAAAAAAATTTTAATGAAGGTGTGTGGCGTCAGCCACGCAATCTGAAAAATTTTTTGGGATGTTTCCCAAAATTTTTCCGGGCTCCTGACCCCAAAATTTCGGAAAAAGGGGGCGCGGCGGCAGCCACGCCCACAAAAAAATTACTTAGAAGGCTAATTTGAATTTTTAAAATTTTTCAAAAATTATTTTGATTATTTACAAGTAAATACAAGTCAATTGCACATTTTTATAACTCATATAAGTAACTTTCAAAAATTTCGCGACCCATTCTCGGGGGGGGGGGGCGCCCCCCGGTACGCCACTGACTTCCACATATTAAATGGATTAAATGCGATGCATTCGACAAGGGAATAATATTAAAGCGCACTGGCGGTCAACAAGGAGATATACTGTCGAGCCATTTGTAACCTAATGCGTATTGCACATAATGTGCGCTACTTGACGTCCTATTATAAGATTAAAGCCTGCCCATTCCCGGTGATTTCTCCTTGTTTCCTTGTCTTCTTGGACTTAACTGATGTATTAGTTGCTAGGAGACACTTTTACACTTTGTTAAGCCAGAAAGGATTTTGCTAAATTACTAGTAAAGGTGCCGTCGGTTGCCGCGTAAAGTGTGAGACTCACTTATTGAATTACGGATGACTCGAGGTTAAATCATTAGGGTTCCTTCGTCAAAGTGGTAACATTTCTACTATCCAAATCTACTGAAAAGTTATGTGGAACGGGTGAGAACTAATACTACTCATCGCTTCTGCATTTTTGCAAATTCGTCTGAAAATCATCTTTTGAAGCATATTTCTGCCGCAGATGTGAAGCAGCATTAATACACATGATCACATGACCCATCGTATTTCAACCAAAAACTTTCAAGTGCCTGAAAGTTACATGCTGAAATCTAAAAAGGTGCAAGTGACTTGTTTACATTTGTAAGTAAATAGAATGATTTCTAAAATTTTTAGGCTTCGCTAGCATCTTATTCTAAACTTTTGAGTTATGGTCCTGCAAATATTCTGGGAAACATTCCCGAAAAAACATATCGCCGAGTCATCTGTAACTTAACATGCGTACTGCACACTATACACGCCAAATGACGAGCTGCAAAACTAGAACATGCTCATTTCCTGTGATTTCTCCTCCTTTCCTTATTTCTTTTGTTTTCGCTGGTTACATGATAGTCAGTAGAACACATTTCTACCTTTGTTAGGCTAAAGTTACTTCTATGAGTGCCGTCGCTAACAGGACTTAGTGTGCAGTCTCACACAGCAAGTTACAAATGACTCGAGATTATGTACTGCATGGCGTTAGCCGCGCATCTTCATTAGAAAAGCAATCATGCCCTCCCCCTTCCCCCCCCCCCCTTCGGACGAAATTCCGCCACTGCTTGGTACCTATGTTGTGTTAAGGCTAAATTCTGTTGAAATAACAATCATCTCAAAATAAACTCATTCACGTTTTGTACTCGTAATTTGAAAGTAGCCTCCATCTCACAGCCTTTCAAAGCTTCTAGGTATATTGAGGCAATATGCGTAATTTTATGTGAAATGTTGACTGGTTCGGGAAGGACCTTGGTCTTAAAAGACACTAGAAATTTGCATGGTCAATATATTAGCCGCACTGGATTGTAGAATGGGCAAGGCCCGTAGAACATGAGTCCGTAACTTCTCTCACATAATAGCTTACAGATTTAGAAAGCGGAAATGTTATCATCCCGAAGAGGTCTTTGCTGAACACCAGTGCACAGTATCACTTACTTGAAAGGTTTTAGCAGAAATGGCAACCACTTACAGCGCAGAAACCCGTCGTGAAGCGTGCCATTCGAGGAACTGTGATTCCTCCCAATCAGATACGTAAAAACAGAGGTTTCTGACAGTATGTCTGGAGACGCGTTTTTTGGGTGCACCATAAAACATTTTTTTCGCACAGTAAACTTCGTAGCTCAAAAAACAAAACCGTTCCAGTCTTAAGATGGTGAGCTAATAAAAAACATTGGGGCGGATATGAACTACGTCCTACATGACTATAACAATATTGTTAAAAGTTTTCCATGCTGCAATTGTCTCTATAATCTTCCGCTTCCATCTTGACAATATTGTAGCCTCAAGAAAGTTCACTGAACTTGTTTATAATTGATCTATTTCTGCTTGTTGTCATTTTTTTTGATTATATTGAATTCCACTGGGCATCTTAGCGGCAAAACTGACATGGATTGTGAAAGGTGCTGTTTTTCTTTCATCTCAGAGATAAAGCAAAATTTTTTAAGCACGAAAACTCCTGCTACTAGTCCCAAATTTTTACATTTTAGCGGCTTTCATAAGCAAGTTTTTTTTTAGAAATTGAATCAATTCTACATCTTTGAAAACTTGTGCGAAAGAAAAAGTAAATGAGCTTTTGCTCTTTATATAGCAAATAAGTAGTTTTTTTGAGTTTTTGATGTCAAATCTTGTCAACCTTAGAGTATTAGAATATTTCAGCCGGAGTCGCATATGTGTTCCTACATAATCCGTGGTGCGTGCACTTTCTCAGATAAAGAACCGCCTGTTTACACAGTGTACATAAAAGATGACATGGTAAGATCTAAGTTAACTTCGGTTTTTGCGCAAATTTCCAACGCTGAAACTGTAATACATATGAGTTTTATATTCAAAGACTTTGTAAATCAAAAACATTCTTCTTGAAAGTTAGAATCAGCGAAAAATATGACAATGTGAAAAGTGTAAAAAATAACTTTATCTCGCCAAATGGTTTAGTCAACCATTAATTTGAGCTGTGGTTTACAGTATTCGAAAAGATGCTGGTATGGTGATGGCGTTGTTGTTTGCTCATGCATGACTGAGCTTTGTAATGGTGATATCGAAGTGATACGGGTGAGCAACATGAAAAATAAAATGCAGTTTAGAGCTAGAAGTTTGAAGAGCAGATTTGCTAATATATGCATAATCTATCGGAAATATCGTTTTAGAAACTATGGGACAAAACCAAAGTAACCGACGAGAATGTACACGAATGCGTGTCGGAGTACCTAAAGAGAAGTGAGTATTGGTATATGCCTGGTTGTGAGATGCCATATAAATAAGTGACTAAGAATGCGCGGAAAGTATATGTCCACTAGCCGGTTTGCCCGGCTCCGCTCGGCCCTGTCAAAACACTATGATAAAGCTCCCATCCGTAACCCTGTACAGTCTTTCCCTGTGCCCACGTCTACATGCCATTTCCCTATTCCCGCTGATTTAGTAATCAGCATGCTCACTTTTCCCCCCCCCCCCCCCTGTGCCTCCCAATCCCGTAGCTCAAAGTTTGCAAAAAAATCGATAAGATCATATAAGTGGCGGATAATCCTAAAAACTGATATTGTATTCGTAATCGGCAGGCCCGATCAGGGTCAAGCAAGGAGTGTGGCACACGATAGCTGGTTACGACCCCCCCTGAACTATATACCTAAGATAGCATTACCAAAGTTGAGAAAGAGGTCAGGTACAAGTCTTTCGAAACCCCCCCCCCCTCCAATGAAAGCCCTCAAACGACCCCTTCTTCCTCCTCTTAACCTCTGGACCTCAAAGTGTGACATTCTGGAAGGCACCATCTTTTTTCTAGAGAGTTTTCAGATTTCTGAGAGCTATACGCCCGATTTTCTGTGACTGCACTTTACAATCACACGTAATTTGACGGCTGATTTTGATCTGAATGGGCATATTGAAAGAGCCATAATTTTCTTATGGGTGGGGCGTTCGGCTCCAAATTTCCAATGTAGCAAGAAGAAGCTGTGTGCTCAATACTCATACCAGCAATAAAGCGCTATCTGGATTTTGAAGGCAAGTTAAGGGGGCGCGGCAGCCGCAGCTTTTAAGGGGGTGGTGCCACACCCCATTAACTATATCAAAAAAACATTTTTAGCGGACAATATTTATATGAATCGATAGCCTAAACCTTGTAGATTCCATAGAACTGTTTGGAGCCTGATTGTCTTCTTAGCTCTAAGTAATATTTGGTGAAAGCACAGTGATCAAAAACGAAAAATGGGAAAAACGAGATTTTGGTTGGCTTCTAATTCCACAGTTTGCAGGTCTTCTGAAGCGGGATTCCTGAGGTGGACAAAGAAGGAGTAGTGCTTTGTCTTGAGTGCAAAAACGGATAGCCAATTTACCTTTGAAACAAGGTTAACCTTGTTGGAATTTGACCATTTCATTTAGCCTAGTATCTTGAATCTTCAGAATTCGATCACACTTTGTCTACAGGGGTTAATTGACATGCTAATTATGGATAGGATACGAATATTATGTTATCACTATTATCAGATTACCCAACTACGACCCCCTCCCCTTTTGACTCCTCAATACGACCCCCCAGGTGTGGCGTGCCGCACCTCACGCCTGACCCTGGGCCCGATTGCCCTGTGCCAAATCCCAGCCCTGTAGGTGAACTCCGCAAAAGACCGATAAAATCGACAAAAGCAGCGGATAACTTTAAAAACTAATATTGTATTCGTAATCAGCATGCTCGATTACCCCCTCCCCTCAATTCTTTATTGATAGATATCGAATCTATCAATTTTTATCGATTTTTTGCAGAGTTCAACGGGGCTGGGATTTGGCACGGGGCAATCGGGCCTGCTGCGAGTACAATATTAGTTTTTGTGATTATCCGCTAATTTTATCAATTTCCATTTTATTGCAAAGTTTGAGCTACGGGGCTAGGAGTTGACACAGGGGCTAATCGAGCATGCTGATTACTAAATCAGCGGGAATAGGGAAATGGCATGTAGACGTGGGCACAGGGAAAATTGTACAGGAATACGGATGGAAGCTTTATCATAGTGTTTTGACAGGGCCGAGCTGGCTGGGCTGGCTTGGCTTGCTTTTATCATTGTTTTCTATGAAAATTCAGGCAAACCATAGCATTAGATTTTGACCTAACCCCGATCTGCAACTTCTATGAACGTTATGAAACATCCACATGCTCTCTTTATACCGTACACATACTTACACACCTACATGCACAGTTTGTACGGAATATGAGCTTGAACAAAAAGAAAAACGAGATGATTTAAAAGTGGCAAACTCCGCTCCCATTGAGCGAATTCCCCCACTTGCTCGAATATCAGCTACAGGCGAGTGAGAGTACAGCGGCAAATTTTTGAGGATGTACATACATTAGGTTTCGAGAAATTGCAAACTCGGTGAATTTGAAAATGTCCGAGAACTTTCCAGCCAACCTAATAGGTTGGTCAAAGAGTTCGTGCCGTTTTTAGGTCCATGCTCGAAACACTCATAATAATGCAAACAAACGCCTTCAACAATAATCAATGCAAAATAGTTTTCCTCTTTCTAACACCTATGTTTTTGTTCAGAGTCCTTTGATGTTTGTCGGAATTACACATCAGAATCTATATCTATGATTTTCACCCATCCTAAGTTTTAGCTTTGACGACATTGGATAGAGTAAACAAAATGCAATACATTGGACTACTATGCTTCTTCAACTAGCTTTTTAGTACTTTTTGATGATATTTTCAAAGCCATCACTTTTGCGTAGTCTGAAATAGACCGCTTCACTGACTTCTCCGATTTGAGTCTTCCAGAAACAGCTTGGTTAACGCTGATTTTATCGAGCAAATGAGCGTTTAGTGCTTCAAGACACTGGATTTTGAATTTTTTGAGTACAGCCTGTGACGAGTTTGGAAACAAAAACTATAATGTTTTTGTTTTCAAATATTGTACAAATCAGGGAAAGTGTCTATCAAAAACAGGAGAAGAAGCTGCATGGGATGATATCCTGGTTGCTCGCCGTTCAATGTTCTGAGAGGACTGAGATGGCCAAATATAGAATTTGACAGCATTAAGAAAATGTTTTTAAAAAATTTTGAGAAGCCAGCCAGAGATGCCAAAAATATGTATACTGCATTTTGTTTATTCTGTAGAACTGCTATCGAAGCTAGTTCAAAAGTTAAAAAATGGAAAAAAAAACAGACAAACTCAGGATGGTTGAGAATCATGAACCACGGGTTGGAAATTACAACAAACCTGAACAAACACATAACTATTAGAAAAACGAAGAAAACTGAAAAAAAGAAACTTGCAATGAATGCTACTTGGAGCTTTTGTCATCACTGTTTTGATTGGCTTGAGTATGGGTCTAAAACACAGCACTAATTTTTGGACCAACCTAATATACGTGAATGGTCAATTTTTGAAATTTGTGGTAACCTTTGATTCGATTGGCTTGGCGGCTGAAAGGCGAGTCATCGTGACCGAATTAATGCTAGATAATGATCAGAGAGCACCGCGCGACAGAGACGCAGACTGCGTGGCAAGCGCGAGCGCCTTAATTAGGTGGCAGAGCCCCGCCTTCCAGCCGCCAAGCCAGTTGAATCAAAGGCTAATTGAAAATGCAGCAATGAAAATCCCACTTAGGTTCAAAAGCTTTCTTAAAAGCGCTTAGCCCTCTTTGCTTGATAACTTATCTCGCAGAATCAAACTTGAGTATTCGTATTATATGTAAAGTAAATAGCAGTAAAATCCCCTCATTACTTGTGAGCGAAAAACGGTAAATATTTTTTTTCTACGACAGTGCAAATCCATCCACATTTTTAAGATATGTACTTTCAGGGCCGGGATTACCTCTACTTACAAAAGAGGAGGTTGGTTTCATTAAAAGGTTGCATACAAGCGTCATTACAATTTTTTTCAATTTCAGATGGAGCCAAAAAGTAAGAAATCTAGCACTATAGGATACGAAATATTTGTTGACACAAAGTGTTCCTGGTTCTTCATTTTCACCAAATTTTTAAGAATGGAGCGACACCGCAACATCTTGCTATCAACACCTATATAAAATAACTTTACGTTATCTAGGCGCCGACATTGTTCCCGTAGTGAATGATGAAGAACCAGCACGTCAACGAATCTCAGGAAATGAGGCACCAAAAAGTGCCAATGCAAAAAGTGAAAGTGATTCAGATTTGTGAGTCAACACCATTCATCTTGTATCCACCAATGAACTTACATGAACTTAGACGGAAAGATAAATTCTGAGCCTGTCGGTGATACTCCTGCTGGTAGAAACGACGCGCTGTTAAGGCAGTGTTTAGGCAGATTCGCGCCCTGGGTGATATTGCTGTGGTGGGGTTCCTGGTCATCCCAGTTGGTGTTCCCCCTGGGCCGAGAAAATAGCTCTTGAACCGGGGCGCACAACCGCAGTCGGCGCGAGCTCGGACGACCTTGCCTACCGTTCGGCGCGGGAACACACGATCTCTCTCGCGCGTTGTGCATGCTATCTAAAGCAAACATTACAGGCAGCAGGGTCTCCGAGTCAGAGCCTCCCCCTTGAAATTCTCGTCCAAGCTGCCTTTTGAAAATTGGGTAGCTCCCAGAGAAAGGTCTTTTCACCCGTTTCAAAGCTTAAATTCGGAGTGTACAGGTGGGAAAGGCCCCAAACATGCAAAAAGATGACAATGCGACATCTGCCGGGACAGTGCCTTCAAGATTCCGTGATTCACTTCGTTCTGCCTTTCTTTATGGGTGACCAAAATTGCATGATAAAATGAAGATTTGCAGTTAGTCTGTCAGGAAATTCCTCTAATTTTTGGGAGTGCTGCATGCGTGGATGGATCTATAGGGTGTGGAAAAAGTACAGTCCCTCTATTATGACTCCTAGATTATCTCACAAACTAAATCTAAAACTCCGTCATGTAAGCGAGACACTGAAGTTTACATTAAGTTCTATTTGGCCAGCCTTCGCTGTATTTTTATCAAAATTAACGTCCAAGAGGGTCATCGATAATGCGTCGCAGCTCCTAGACACGGTTTTGAACCTGTAAGATTTTCTAAAATCAATAACTAAGGAAGTTCGCAAGTGCGTAGAAAATAATAGATTTTTCTGAAAATGGTATGTAATAGGATTGGTAAAGTGGAACTCTGCCTAAAAGGGAAACTATAATTCACATGGATCGGGAAGACACCTAAAACCTGCTGACTAGGTCTTTCCTCGCTTTATCAGCTGGGTCCAAGCTCCTCGCGGAATTTTGATCTCTAGCAAGAAGAACCGTAATAATCGAATTCCCAGTATTTGTCAGAAATGTGATTACACCATCAAAAAAATCTGAAAACACTCGTAAAAAGTTGTGTAGTGGAATCAGCGTGCGCGAAAACCCTAGTACACGATTTTTCAATTCTTCAGATTTTTAGAAAAAAATTTTGTCACATAGCATATTTCACAATGGTTTCACATGGCAGAAGTTCTTACCGTAATCCTACAGTAACGAAGAGCAATCGGTGAATCGATCGATATTGTCAATCCATGTTGAACCCTCCTCTAAAGCATGGTATTTGATTGGCAGAAAAAGACCCATTAGGAAGAGAGATATTGACGATTGAAAAGTGTGTACTTACTTTTGGGACACCCTGTATAACACTGTCATTGAAAGCAGCATAGGAACTTGCGCATGAGGATACTCTTTGATAGCGCAAAGCAACCTTTACAAGATTTTTATTAGAAAACCGCACCATTCATGTTCTGTGTAATGAAAATAAAAAAAAAGGAATTCTGTGGGATCAAAAGCTGGACTTTAGCCGAAAATTTTTCTTGATCTTTCAATCAGCCATACGTACACTATGCATATACAATTTTTAATATGTAAGCTTGGTGTAGATCTTGAGAGCCAGAAATCAAAAAAAGAATCTTCAAAAAGAAGAATACCGCTTCTAGCAACTGCGATCCCTTTTTTATATGCAGCTACATGCTACATCTGAAGATTATAAAAGTAAACAAACTTTTAACAGCACTAATTTCGGGGCATCTCGATTTTAGCTCGAAAACGCGAAAATAACTGATGTTCCCCTCTGTTAGCTCAATGGTTTCGAGCCGGTAAAGGATTGTTTGAAGTTTGTGTGTTACGTTTTTTAACCACATCCTTCATATGCCATTTTCTTGAACGGCAGCTTTTCCAAAACATTTTACATATTTTTCCTAGTGGACATGTGTCCGGCTATTTTCAGAACATCACTGATTTTATGTTTTTGAAGTAGTGCACGGTCAACTCAATCCCTATCAAGAGCGAAAAGCTTCTGTAAACATCAAGGGGGGTTGCAGATTTTTGTGAGATTCGTAACTGCTAATATTTATTCTTATTTTGGCACTCATGTGGATGTTTACGCTAAAAAGTGTGCGAGTTCCACAGTTCTTCCAGTTCTTAATTTGATGGGACAATACTTTTTTCGGCATTCTTCTTACGAAAGTTAGATCAAAAATTGTTTCAAGCTTGGCAAAATTCTCTGGTTACCTCCAAATTGAGTTAGGCTTCCAATATTCTTGGGGATAGCCACTAATCATGTCATTTGAGAGCAATATTTTTGAGTGCTTGGTAAATTCCTTTGTCGATTCCCTCCAGTGGCAAACCGAGGGGGGGAGGTATGCATGCAAAAAATTTTTGTTCCCCCCTCAAGAAAAACTTCTTGGACCATCACTAGAAAAGTGACTGTCTTGAGCAAAATGTCAGAATGTGAAAAATTCAAGTTTCTTTTGTCTCAAAATCTTGAAAATTCTTATTCGAAGGAATTGAGAAGGTCTTTGGCAATTTCTTTTTCAGCATTATATTCGTCATCCTTCTGATTGTGACAGTTGTATTGCTCATTGCTCTCATACCTGCTTGTATCGGCTGCATGGCACTGAATTCGAAAAGGAAACGAAAAAGATCAGAGTATGTTAGCATGAAAACAAGCAAGTCCACTGCTAGAACTGGCGGCGGTAAAACTGAAAGAAGCAACAAAAGCACGAAAACTACGACCAGTGCTAACTCCCTAAAATCTGGAAAGAGTCAGAGTAGGAGGAAAAAAGGAAGAAGTGCAAAAAGTACCAGAAGCAAGTCAGAGACCAAGGGGAGCTGGGCGTCTAAAAGAAACAAAGGGAGTTCAAGAAACAAGGGAAGAAAATGAAGAAGTAAATAATGTACAATATGCAAAACGCTCATTCTAATAGCTACATAGGCATTCTTGCAATTCACGTACACGATTTACTATCTATTAACGTACTGATTTGTGCAATGAAGCTTTGTGTACTGCTCATTTGTCAAATTTGCTGTGACATTCTACAATATGGTGTCAAAACTAAGTCTAAATCACAAATCGCACTGGTTTCTTAAGCTTTTGTTAATTTTTGATAGAAGGAGTACAATATAAATGGCGCTGTATCTGCTTGAGCGAATAATAAGAATCAAATAAATCCGCTTTCACTCAGAAACTCCATGAAAATGAACTTTGCTAGCCATAGCCGGACATACATTATGTGATTCCACCGCTTCGCGAATCTTGCACCAAGACAACTATTACACATTTATTGCATGCTGATCATCTTGCACATCTGTTGTGATAGTTTTCCGACAAGACTAATCGCGACTAACCATCACAACCGAAATGCAAGATGATTCAGCACGCAGTGGACACGTAATAGTTGCCTTGCTAGGAGAATCGCGAGGCGATGAAATCGCGTAATGTAGCCCGGCCCTTTATAAAAAGAAAAGTCATAGGGGCTGTGCCCTCATTTTTCTTAGATTTTCTATGAGCTCAAGTTACGCCAAATAGTTCAAAGATTCTTTAGTATGCAAAGGTGTAACAAAATATTATAGCTTGCAGTGTGATCACAATAACTTATATCACACACTTATTCTATCTGCACGCAGAGAAAAAAAACTTTGTGCAGCATTTAACACTCTTTCAAAACAACATTTATTAGCAAATTTTGAGATATTCAAGATCATCGATTACCTTTTCAGACAAAATAGTTAGTTTTGCTGTACTCATTTTCATCTCACAAGAGTAGCACGTTACAACAGTAAAGACAGCCGCGGAATTCTTAACTGTTTTCAGACTTCAAAGTGCAATGATTAATGATTATAGGTCGCTTGCCTGAATTTTGCTAAAATGCGTAGTGTTTTCAAATTTCCTTCCGAAATGAGTTTGTATTGAGTGCACTGTATCGAGTGCCAGTCAATTGATAGAGATCAATACGTCATTGCGGAGTTTTAAACGGCGCCTTTGTATTACGAGGGACTACCAGCACGTGCACCAAGAATCAGCAATAAGGAACAATACCATATGACGATTTCAAGTAAAAATTTCTAAAACAGTACATTTTTCAAATTTCCAGCTCCTCAAAGACAGTGTCCAAATTGGGGCATATGGGTTTTTTGCCTGGAAACATTCGAGGGGGTCCTATTTGAAGCATTGCCCAAAGCGAGACTGTTCTGGCGTTGTAGGTGCAGAGCATGAAGCAGTCCTCGTGGCGTGTTGTCCAGGCAGACGTGTCGCTTTTGTCCGATCCGAGAGGCGCCCTGAGTACCCTGACAACGTTCTTGCTACCACTCAGCGCCGTAGGCGGGATACGATGTGAAAGGTTTACTCGATTGTGCATCGCAGTTCGACACTCAGTGTCACCCCCATGCCACTCAGTGACCCCCCATTATAATAAAAAAAGAAAAACAGAGTAATTCTAATTTCCGTTTCGATCCTTTCACTATACGGAAATTAGATTGACATACAGCCTTCTCCGGATCTCATCAGTAGTGAAGGAAGGCCGTAGGAGTAAAAATGAAAAGAGAAAAAAAGAAAAGAAAAAAACTAACCTAAAACTTCCTTACAACAAGTAGTTAATCCAAGTGTTAGAGTAATGTGGTCTATAAAAAAGTAAGTTAATTTTATAGGAAAATGTAGATATAAATATAAATATAAATTACTCAAAAAATCTTTCAGAGAAGGGGGACGAATAAGGATGTTGATAAATATGAATTGAATCAAGCCTGTTTTGTGTCTAGGAGATGTGGTTGTCTATAGAGCAAGATATTATATAATGTTGGGTCGTGCATATTAAACTTCAATTCTCAAAATGATAAGTGTGTCAGAGGTTATATACTTATATATGTGTAAGTACGGGTGTATGTACGTGTGTGTATCCAAATATGAATGTGTATATGTGTGCATGTATGTATGTATGTGTGTAACTATGTATGTATGTATGTATGGATGGATGTATGTATGTATATATGTAAGCATGTATGTATGTATGTATGTATGTATGTATGTATGTATGTATGTATGTATGTATGTATGTATGTATGTATTTATGTATGTATGTATGTATGTATGTATGTATGCTATGTATGTATGTATGTATGTATGTATGTATGTATGTATGTATGCTATGTATGTATGTATGTATGTATGTATGTATGTATGTATGTATGTATGTATGTATGTATGTATGTATGTATGTATGTATGTATGTATGTATGTATTTATGTATGTATTTATGTATGTATGTATGTATGTATGTATGTATTTATGTATGTATTTATGTATGTATGTGTGTATGTATGTATGTATGTATGTATGTATGTATGTATGTATGTATGTATGTATGTATGTATGTATGTATGTATTAGGTTGATGCATAATTCCTGCACCAAAATAGGTACAGACCGCAATAACTCGGAGTTATCCTATATCCCAAGTAGGATTCGATATATCATTCGATAGCGCAAACCTAGCTCTACAAGATCGTGCTCAAATATCTACACCAGCTTTGATCCTCGCGAAGTTTTGAGCCAAAAACTGAAAAAAACCATGCGTCCGAAAACCTTAAGACAGATCTTAAAAAAATTGTAACTTCGTTCAAAAAGCTCATACAAATTTTCTTTCTTGCTCACGCGTAGACGTTCCACGTAAGACATTTATCTATGCGGTTGCTGTATTTTTTTCTCAATTAGGCGATGAAAAAACGAAGTTTTTTGAAGTTTTTCATGTTTTTGCCAAATTAGTGCTGAAATGTTCTAGTATCAAGAGTTGTATAGTACATGCCGTTAGCAGTGAAACTTTACATTTTCAGCCTTCTAGAACTGCTAGTTCGCGAGAAATAACGAATCTAGCTCTCCTTATCCAGATTTTTCTTGCCTAGTTGCTAAAAATCCGATATTTCTCGTAAACCAGCTGCTCTAAAGAGCTGAAAATTCACATTTACGCTTCTAAGGTCCTATAGTATACAACTGTCAGTGCTAGAACATCTCAGCATTGTTTTGGAAAAAACATGAAAAACTTCGTTTTCTCATCGGCTAGTTGAGAAAAAAATACAGCAACCGCATAGATAAATGTCTTACGTGGAACGTCTACGCGTGAGCAAGAAAGAAAATTTGTATGAGCTTTTTGAACGAAGTTACAATTTTTTAAAGATCTGTCTTAAGGTTTTCGGACGCATGGTTTTTTTCAATTTTTGGCTCAAAACTTCGCGAGGATCAAAGATGGTGTAGATATTTGAGCACGATCTTGTAGAGCTAGGTTTGCGCTATCGAATGATATATCGAATCCTACTTGGAATATAGGATCACTCCGAGTTATTGCGGTCTGTACCTATTTTGGTGCAGGAATTATGCATCAACCTAATATGTATGTATGTATGTATGTATGTATGTATGTATGCATGTATTTATGACGTATGTATGCATGTATGTATGTATGTGTGCATGTATGTATGTATGTGTGTAACTATGTATGTATGTATGTATGGATGGATGGATGTATGTATGTATATATGTAAGCATGTATTTATGTATGTAGGTATGTATGTATGTATGTATGCATGTGTGTATGTATGTATGTGTGTATGTATGTATGTGTGTATGTATGTATGTATGCTATGTATGTATGTATGTATGTATGTATGTATGTATGTATGTATGTATGTATGTATGTATGTATGTATGTATGTATGTATGTATGTATGTATGTATGTATGTATGTATGTATGCATGTATGTATGTATGTATGTATGTATGTATGTATGTATGTATGTATGTATGTATGTATGTATGTATGTATGTATGTATGTATGTATGTCTGTATGTATGTATGCATGTATGTATGTATGTATGTATGTGTGTAAGTATGTATGTATGCTATGTATGTATGTATGTATGTATGTATGTATATATGTATGTATGTATGTATGTATGTATGTATGTATGTATGTATGTATGTATGTATGTATGTATGTATGTATGTATGTATGTATGTATGTACGTATGTATGTATGTATGTATGTATGTATGTATGTATGTATGTATGTATGTATGTATGTATGTATGCATGTATTTATGTATGTATGTATGCATGTATGTATGTATGTATGTATGTATGTAAGTGTGTATGTATGTATGTATGCTATTTATGTATGCATGTATATAAGTATGTATGTATTTAAATGTATATGTTGTATATAATGTATATGTATGCTTTTATATTTATAGTTGAAGTAAAGTGCATTGAATATATAGTATTTGAATTGTGTATAATTTTTAGATTATAAATGTATGAATACGATTGATAAATCTTAATTGAAAATATCTCTTATAAAGCTAATTAATTCCTTTTCATTTTTTTCGGGACAGTATTTTACGTTTATGAATTTGTTTCTATGAATACATTTGAACATACAGCTGAGAAAAAGTTCGTGTGTATAGCCATTTTTTTGAACAAGATGATCATTCAATTTTTTAATACGTTCTACAAAGTCTGTTTTGTATGTGCATGTTCTAGCTATTCTAAGTATTTCAGTATATATAACAGATCTTTTAACTTGTATCGAAATGTTTGAGTTTTTATGAGGAAATCGATGTATACTGTATTCAAAACTATCTGTTTTATTGTATAACTTGGTAGTTATTTTGTCATTGTTGATGTTTATACTGAGATCTAGATAATTGCAGTTGTATTCGTCAGTATGTGTTGTTTCTAGCGATAGGGTGTTTTGGTATACCTGCATGAGCAGGTTTTTTATATATTTACTAGTTTTGTCATGTAAAATCAATATATCATCCATGTATCTGAAAGGTATAAAGTTGGAAAGAGAGCGATAATTATCTTTCGCGTATATGTATTCGTAGTATGATAATGTAAGGTCCGCAAGAAGTGGACTACAATTACTCCCTT